AGTTGGAGGCCACAGTGAACTATGATCACACCATGGCTCTCCTGCCTGGGTGATAGAGCAAGACTTTGTTTCTAAAAACAAAAACAAAGTGACAAATTTAGGATGGAGCAGAAAAATGTGTCTGTGAGTTTGTAATTGTGTTAAAGCAAAAGTATATATTATACTTATGTGTACTCAAATATAAGAGTGTATTTTTACCACAGTTGTGCAAATTTTAACATCTGCTTTTTCTAGAAATCCATCTCTTCCCCCAACACATATTATGAGGCATGTTTTGAATACAGCATTGTTCAATGGTTAATTGTAAATGGCTTATTCTAGGTACTTTATTTTTGAAGTTCATTACTGGACATATTTGTATGAATGTCACCGGAGGTAGTCTTTCTATGAATTATTATGTTGAATAACTCACCACTGAGTCCATATCTACTTTTTTTCCTTATGAATTAGACTTTTTAAAAAAAATTACACTTTAAGTTCTGGGGACCATGTACAGAATGTGCAGGTTTGCTACATAGGTATACACGTGCCATGGTAGGTGTGGGCAAAGCCTTCATGACTAAAACACCAAAAACAATGGCAACAAAAGCCAAAATAGACAAATGGGATCTAATTAAACTAAAGAGCTTCTGCACAACAAGATAAACCACCATTAGAGTGAACCGGCAACCAACAGAATGGGAAAGAATTTTTGCAATCTACCCATCTGACAAAGGGCTAATATCCAGAATCTACAAAGGACTTTTTTTTTAAGTTCCAACTATATAATTTTATGTTAAATAAGATTTGATTAGGGTTTGAGGATGAATCTCACTCCCTGTGTATAACAGTACAAATGTAATGTTATAATGTTTCTGTATTATTTAGGACAGCCATTGATGAACCATCGGAAAGGTACTGTACAAATTGGTGCTATATGCTGAATATTTTCTGATAAAGTTGAATTTTCTAATTGATTTTTTATCTTATTCTCATAGGCAGAAAGGATATAAGAACAGAAACTATAACTCTCAACTTTTATTGTATGAAAGCATACTGCTTATTTTAGAAAGGCATAAAACATTCAACTGGCATCTAGTTAAATGCTTGTTTTAACTTATAGAATGAATGAGTGACAAAAAGTTGTCCAAAGATTACCATGGTGGAAAGACTAATATAAGCCTCAAAAATTGACACCTAAAGAAGAGACTTTAGGATACAGTGGATGCTGATCTCGCTATAGGATTATGGATCAAAATTATCTGGTGATTAATAAATATCAAGTATTATGCACAAATCCACATTTCTTGAAACAGAATCTTGGAGGTGACCGTAGAGGAAAAAATGGTGGGAAAGAATCTTCGGAATGTACATGTATTTTTTTAATTTTTATTTTTAGTTCTGGGCTACATGTGTAGGGTGTGCAGATCTGTTACATAAGAAAATGTGTGCCGGGTCCTTTGTTGCACCCATCAACCCATCACCTAGGAACGAAGCCCAGCATGCATTAGCTGCAGGAATGTGTAGCTTTAGTAAGCCCTCCCTTTTCTACCCCAGGCGATTCTTATGCAAGCCATGGGACAAATCTGTGGTCAAGCATTTGGGAACCTCTGGTATAGTGGCATATACACTAAACAAAGAGTTAAAACTTAGGCTCTAATAATAGATCTGCTGTTAATTTATCTGGGACAATTTACTTAACCCCGACAAATTGGTGAGGTGCTTCATTTCTTGATAATTTTTCCCATGCTTTGTAAAGTCCATTGGAGCCTAATATATTGTGATTCATCAGTTTTATCTTTCATGACTTCCTAAAGCAAACTTCTAATAGAAGAGTAAATACACAATAACATGATTAACTTCAAGAGAAGATTAAACTGCCTATATATTCCACAAGTAAAAATTCCCAGCTCAGGACTGAACTGTGTCCTGCACCAGCAGTTTGTGCATGTGTATAACAAGTTTTTACATGTGTCCATTATCTAGGTTATATCCATTAATGGTCAATAAATTAGAAAAATCCGTGGCTGCTCATTGAGTCTTAACATTTCAAAAGCATGTAACCTCCAAAAGATACCTACCCCTAAACATCAATACAAAAGATTTGCAAAAACACTTCATCCCAGTCTTATAAAGCACCATTCTGATGTTCTAGTAATTCCTTATAATTGGCAAATAGAAGTGCCTATGTTAACAAAATCTAATAATTTCCTGATTACTGACTTTAGTCATTACATATATATTCTGTGATATGCTTAGATCCATATTCCTACATCTAACAGTGCTTAACCATATTTAAAGAAAAGAGAGGCTCATGAAATATTTGTTGAATTAGTAAAAGAAGCAAGAAAAGAAGGGAAGGAAGAGCAAGCAATAGAAAGAGAAAAGTTTGGCTTATTTTAATGAGGGTAATGAAGTTTTCCATCATTGGACACCTCACCATACATCTCCATTAGCTTCTGAATCTTCCGTAGGAAATATGTTGGGCATGTGGACTTCCCTTGAATGTCAAAACACCACCACCACCACCACCACCACCACAAGATATTTAGTCGAAGGACTTTCAGGATTTGTTCTGAAAGGAATAGCTCACCTTTTTTTAAACAGAGGCTTTCATTGACCAGTTTTCCCTCCTTGTTGACATCTATTTTCATCCAGCTATGGAGCCATTTCCAGGCATTCTTGACCACTACTACTCTGAAGTTTTGTTTCTGGAGAAAGAAAGAGGTATTTTCTACCTCAAGGAAGCCTTCCTGCTCATAGCAGGTCCATCGGGGTGCCTGGGAACAACGGGCTAAGATGACTGAGCGGGAGAGGCCGTGAGAGGAGTTGGAGATGGCCAAGCACAGTGCAGATTTCACATGAAGGAGCTTTTCATCCTCAGTCCACATCCACTGTTGGTTCTGGATGGTCCTATTGCACGAGCCCATGACCACTTTCTCATTTTTGAAAAGACACTGTTGTTCCTTGACATGGACAATCTGAAATGCTTCTGGAAGATGAAAAGCTCATATAAAACATTAGGTAGCAAATTACGAGGCCTATTAGAAAATGGAAGAACCCACCCACAAATGAGCTAAATAAAATCACCGGTTTTACTTGTAGTTTGTTATTGCTTATTTCAAGTGAATATTCTCATATTTAACATATGTGATTTAAAATCCCAAAGCTGACAATGTAAAATGTCCATATGTCACACTTAACTCCCCATCTTTTTTTTTAATTTGCACAGGCTTTATGGCAAAAAAAAAAAACACACCCCTTATTGGAAAACGAAAGAAAGCTCAGAAACAAAACCATCCAAAGTATATAGTACATTTTAGTCCAATTAGATGTGCTGAAGTGATAAAATGCTCAGCTCCCTTTTTAACCATTTGATTTAACACTTTCCATGTAACCTGCCTCCTCTACCTTAAAAAAGGACCCCCTTTCCAGTCTTTACATTCCCATTGTAGTAAGTATTTGTATACCTATTACATAGTGTGAATAACAATTTTTAAAAATTACATACATTGATCGAAAAATGAAGCAAATTTTCCCACTCCTCCAAGCACAACCTCCTAGCTAATTGCAGCCAATGAAAGTACTGATTATCACAAACTAAATTTCCTTTAGTCATGCAGAAGAGCATTTCTCTGTTTTGTGACAATATCTACAGTTTTCTCTCAAATCCTAATAGATTTTTAAAAAAATCATCATTTTTCAATGTATGAAAATTAAACATCCAATTGCTAAACATCAGTTCTAAAGAGTAAGATATTCTGGCTCAGAAACCATTTTCAATGAGGTTTGACTTAAAACGCCCAGCTTGCTCATGAAAATGTTCAGTCCTCCCAAATGACAACTTCCAAATAAAACACACCACATTTCCTCATCCCCTTTAATCATATTTCTTCCATTTTCTTTCTGTAACACAAAAGAAAATAAAACTATAACCGGGTTGGAAAAAGGCTTAGGGAATGCCACAGACTATTATATAATAATTCAAAATTTTCCTCAGGGTTCTTTACTCTCTGCTGTAAATGTGTCATTTCAGGGGTTGCCTGAGGCATTTGGAGGATGGAAGGAGAGCATTTATTTATTTTTTTTGGAGAGAAATCTTAACAGTGTGGGCATAGCTGGCTCCTTTTATTCCCCCTCTTCTTCATCTTTGGCTAAACTGCCATGGAGACCTAGCTCCTTTCACCTTATTCCAGACACTTTTCAAAGACCAGAGACTCCTCGGCTAGATATGGAAGAAACGCCTCAGGAAACTGAGGCAGACCCACTCACCTGAGTTTCTGAAGATCAAGCAGGTAAGAATCACCATGTAAAATTCAGCCTCCATTTTCCAATTAGCAACCGTTCATGCTTTGCTTGGGAAAAAAAAATTCTCCCAGATAAGAGAAGCAAAGACTAGGAAGGAAACGTGCCTTCATGGTGGGGGGAAAAGTCAGTGACGAGCACTTCCTTCTATTGAATTGTTTGGGGAAGTTTTATACCAGTGTCCTTTTGTCTGTTTCCTTAGAAAGAAGGGATTATGATTACCTCTCTTTTTTTTATGTAGAAAATATTCCAGCCTTCAAGAGCAGAGTAAATCTCATTAAGACCTCACTTACCTTTCTTTCGGCCTGTGACTACTTCTTAACCTCACGAAGAAAGAAAGCAATTGTAATCTTAGATAATTGAATGTTCCTGAAACATTACACCTCTTCAGGTGATGTGATTCTGCTGAATAAACATAAGCCATGTAATTCATGAGGGTCTATGACAAGTGATATAAAGATATAAACATGCACTGTTTGTATAATGAAACACTGCGAGTCTACTGAGGAAAACCACATAATGATGGTACGTCTAGATCATTATCTCTCAAGTGATGACAATATTACATTTTGAGATCATCATCGCCACTGGGGAGATGCAGACACTAAAATTAAATCCATCACACTATCTACTTAGGTCTTCCCCAAACAGATGATGACCTCTTTCCAAGTAGCGGGGGGTGGGGGAAGAAAAAAAAGCATACCTTTACTCAGTGGTTAGTATTAACAGTTTATTGGCAGTATGAAACAAAGTCAACATTGCTGCATTATAAATTCTTATTTGAGCAGAACAGCTAGTGTTTGCTGAGGGTTGTAAAATTTTTTTTGTCTCTTGAAGATTGCAACCTTTCAGAAATGTTAAGGAAGTATGTGGAAATGTCCTTATAAGGAACCTCTGAAAATGGGACAGGTTATATTATTCCTGAAGGCATATGCCTTTTGTTGAGAGAGAGATTCCAGGTAGACAGCATGTTCAAAATTTCCTTCTTAGCAAAAGAGAGACAAGTATTTAAAATTCTTTATACTTCATAGTTGCTACAAATATTTTCCTTTGAAAGTAAAATGACTCATGGTGTAGAAATACAGTGGATAGAGTTCTGGAGCAGAAGCCACCTCTATGTCCAATAATAGAGAGTAAATACATATATACCCAATGACAATCATTGTGCTCTGTAATTGTTTGATAGGAGGTACTATAAATACACATTTAATAGGTAATATTATCAAGACACATTTCCATATAAAATAGTTACTGCTTTTGATTTTTGCTTCTCAAAAACAAAGACTTATTTTGTTAAAAATCCTTTATCAATCACTTGCAACTTTAGCAGCAAGATTCTTGTAACTGAGAAAGGTAATAGCACTTAAAAACAGGAACAGTTTAACAGCTGACAGTCCAGTCACAAGACAGATTTTGCAAACATTAAAGCATCTAACACATAATACGAATGTCTTCAGCAGCTCATCCAGTCATCACCTGATGACACTTATCACTGAATATTAAATACATACATTCTGTGTGGCAGATAGAGTCAGTACAGACAAAACAAAATCTGCCTTAGGCTGTGTGAGAACCTATCATACCTTCATCATCAAAAAACCTTCAAAATAATTTGGGGGATGCTTACAAATGCATTCATATACATAAGGAGCTGGCAATCCTAAATATGTTGCCCAGTCTTCCACATCCATGCCATACGTTGGCTTCAGAGCTTCTCCTTCCTTCCATTGCAGGAAGCTCCTTCTAGAAGCCTTGAGTGAGTAATTTGATTAATCACCCCAAGAGATGGATGGTCTTCAGTGACTCACTGGACAGTCTCTGCTGAAAGTCTGCTCTCATACAGGCAAAGAGCATGGTGCACAAATTCATACTGCTCACTGGTTTGCACCATTCCACCTCTGCAAGGAAGAAATAATTGAGTGACTTCATTTTGCTAAAATCTTGCAATTTCAAGTAACACAGAGATTACATCCAAGCTAGGGTGGTATGCCAAAGACACATGGGACAGTCAACCTAGTGATTCTTTTGTTATCCCTCTTACCTGTCTCCAAATGTCTCAACTGTCACAGTTAATAAGCTAATGTATATAAAGGGCTTAAGACAGTCCCTGGCACACAGTAGGCACAAGATTAATTTTACCTATATAACATTACTTGGGAAGTGGTGTAGCCTAATTATCAAGTACTTGGATTTGGCACCAGCCAAGGTGAGTTCATATCCCTCCTCTGCCATTTCTTAGCTATATGATCTCAGATAAATTCCTTGAAACCCTTTGCACTTTAGTTTCTTCCTCTGTTAAAGCAGGATAGTAAGAATAACTACTTGGTAAGGTTGCAGTGAAGCTTAAATAAATTCAATGCAGCTGGTGTATTGGTATTACTTCGTGGATGCCTCTTCATTCATCTTGGCTAAAATTGTTTATTCATTTGGCTTAAAATTGATTGATGGAGATGAATCAAACATAACTCATCTGCAAAATGTTTCTCTTTTTACAAGTAAAAAGAAGTCTGCCTTGGAATTGTTTACTGAATATGTTGTACGGAAACAACCTTAGCCTTTGGGTGTACTGAGTATCTAGACACAATGGTGGGTGAGTTCTTAAGTGAGCTGGAAAAAGGGAATTGGCTCTGACATTTTCCTCTTGGTTATCACCATCATCATCACTCCCTGCCCGACACCCTTCTTGTCACTGGATTAGTGGAAGGCACTTGCTTTCACGAGAAATAATGGTGCTTCTCATTATGCTTTTATATACATAGCACCTGTATACCTACATTACATTTCCCCTCTTCATAATTATGGTTCTTTTTTATTTTTTGAGATGAGGTCTCCTTAGTTGCTTACGCTACAGTGCAGTGCATGATGACAGCTCAATGCAGCCTCAACTTCCCAGGATCAAGCGATTCTCCCACCTCAGCCTCTGGAGTAGCTGAGGTGGGAGACACCACCACACCTGTACAATTTTTGATTTTCTTTTTTCTTTAGAGACAAGGCCTCACTATGTTGCCCAGGCTGGTTTCCTGGACTCAAGTGATCCTCTTGTCTCGGGCTCCTGAAGTGATGAAATCACAGGCATGAACCATGGTACTCAGCCCTGTAATTATGATTCCTTAGCTTGACAAAGATACCAGACATTAATATGTTACTATTACTGCTTACCATATAAAAGCATCACTATCAGTAACTATTTAAAATCTTGTAAAGTCTCTATAACTCTGCAATCATACAACTAATTTTATCTTTTAGTTTAACTCTAAGTTTTAACCACGTTTTTCCAAGTGGCTGTTAGTATCATGCAAAATAACGTTCAGATTATTTAGGCACTTCGACTTAAAAACAAGATATCTTGTCTCACTGTAACAAGGCTTCTAGTTAATGATAATAATAAAAACTGTGCTTGTATCTATGTTTGTGAACATATGTCAATATTAAAGCAGTAAAACTTCCCCCTTTTAAACTAAACAGTGATTCTCCAGGAAAATTAACATGATGTCAAAATGATGTTATTTGGCAAAAAATAAAGAGGTAAATTCACAGTTTGCGGTGACAGCAACTTACTGACACAGAAGTATTTAATTGGTCTTTCCCTCTAGAAAGTATCTAACACATAATATGAATGTACATAATACAAACATGTTGTACAGAAACAACTTCAGCCTTTGGGTGTACTGGGTGTCTAAGCGCAATAGAGGGTGGGTTCTTAATTGAGTTGGAAAAAGGAAATTGGCTCTGGCGTTTCCCTTTTGTACATTTTGTTGCATTAAAGGCAATCTCCTGGGCAAAGTATCCCTTGGTCAGAAGGGAACAACAGAAATGACCAGTTGAGAATGTGGTAATGGTTTCTCTTCTTAGCTGTGTGATGACATCTGGGCTCACCTAAAAACATAGCAGGTGTTCCAAAGATGCTGGCTTTAACTATGAAGCTTGGGAGACACCACCACAGTAAATATTAGGGTAGCTCAGGGAACTGAGAGGTACCTCCCTTCCTCTGGCATTTGCGCAGCTCAGGCCACCATTATTTTGCCTTGAGCTGCAGACAGTGTGTGGAAGCTTCTGTGTGCTCCAGCTCTTAGGCTCTGGTCTGTCAACTTCCTCTCACCATTGACCTCACTTTGAGGCAAGATTTTCCCCTTCTTGTATGTTCTGGTCAGCACTGGTATTTACATGTCCAACTGGTGAATGAATGGAGACACAGTTTAGATTTTAATAACCGTTTCACCCTAAGTGGGTCAGTGGTGTAATTTAATGGTTGGAATATATTTACTATGACATTCTGTTCACTAAATCAAGGTTGTTTTAGCCACTGAAAGTGAGGAAGATGGAGAAACACACTCATTAATTGGCAAAATTCTTGCAGGTCTGAAGGCTTCTGGAAGGTATATGAAAAGTTCTGTTACTTCCCACTTAATTTGAAAAATGAAAATGAAAAAAAAATTGGCATCAGAGGAATCCTTAGAGATCATCCATTCTAGTCACTGACTATATAGCTTTTGTAGAAGGAAGCAATCTATGTATGACAGATGGCCAGCTGGCTTCTGCTGGAATGTTCATGGGGCGAGGGACCTTTAGAGGCAGCCTTTCCCAAGGTTGGCAGGAAAACTTTTAAGACATCAACATGAATCTGCCCCTTTCTAACTTTCACCACATTGACCCAACTGAAATAACTCAAAAGAAGTCCTAAGGCTCCCCTGCAGTCACACAACACTCTTTAAAGGCTGGAAAACAGCCATCAAAGTCCTATAATCTTTTCTTCTTTAGACTAAACATCCTGTGGTCACCCAATATTTCTGTACAGCCTGGTTTATCTGTCACTCACCACTCTAGTCTCCCTCTTCTACAGGCTGTTTAATCAAATATGATCTTCTTAGAGCATTGTGTCCCCTCCTGATGGTATCTATGAAGTAGGCTTATTTTCTCCCTCCAGCTGCACATTGAAGACCAACAGATTTGTGTTTGCAGGTGCATCAGGTGGTGCCTGGTCCCCCGTAGTATTTTAAGATATTAGCTGATGGTGTAGGTTAATTAAAAAGTCAGCAAGACCATTTTTGAATGTAGATATTACAGCCTTCTCCCATTCTGTAATTATGCTATGAAATTTTTGAAACTAAATGCAAGGCTTTCTATTTATTCTCATTAATCTCAACTTGTTAGTTTCAGCACAATGCTGTTGTTTACTGGATCACTATCTATCAGTCAATATATTAGTCTTCCATTTCTTTCTTTTTTTGAGACGGAGTTTCGCTCTTGTTACCCAGGCTGGAGTGCAATGGCGCGATCTGGGCTTACTGCAACCTCCGCCTCCTGAGTTCAAGCAATTCTCCTGCCTCAGCCTCCTGAGTAGCTGGGATTACAGGTGCACGCCACCATGCCTAGCTAATTTTTTGTATTTTTAGTAGAGACAGGGTTTCACCTTGTTGACCAGGATGGTCTCGATCTTTTGACCTTGTGATCCACCTGCCTCGGCCTCCCTGAGTGCTGGGATTATAGGCGTGAGCCACCGTGACTGGCCTAGTCTTCCATTTCTTACTCCTAGCTTTGCATCTCCAAGATATTTAACAAGGATGCCTTACATCTTTTTATCTAAGGCACTTATAAAGAAATAGAAAAAGAGACAAAGTAGGGTCTTTGAGTAAACTGATATCATGTTATATACTATCTAATCCCATTCTAAAATTATTTCCGACTAGGTTGTAGGTCCTTTAGAGACCTACAAGCATAATGGCAAAGTCTTCTTATACTTGTAACAGTAAAAAGCACTTACCAGTCCTAGGTAAATACCTGTCAAATGAATTACCCAGATCATGCTATTTTCATGTCATGTGAAAACAGATAAACTCTAGGCTAAAAGAAAGCGAAAGGTATTACAGGATGCATTCACCAGGGGCTGGTTCAAGTTCAGGAACTCATCATAATCATCTTTGAAAATATTAAATAAATGCCCTATTGCATATATTGATATATAGAATACTCTGTTGACTGGGTGCAGTGGTTCATGCCTGTAACCCCAGCACTTTGGGAGGGCTGAGAGGATTACTTGAGCCCAAAGTGGGAGGATCACTTGAGCCCAGGAGTTTAAGACCAGCCTGGGCAACATAGTTAGACCCTGTCTACAAATTAAGAGAAAAGTTAGTTGGACACAGTGATACATACCTGTGGTCCCAACTACACAGGAGGCTGAGGTGGGAGGATAGCATTTGGTTTATAACAGGTCATCCATTCTTTCAAAGGTTAACAGAGCCTTCTCTTTCCCTCTTTCTTTCATTTCTCTCTCTCCCCCTCTCCCTCATCTTGCTTTGTTGCCCAGGCCACAGTGTAGTTGTGCAATCACAGCTCCCTGCAGCCTTGACCTCCCAGACTGAGGTGATTCTCCCACCTCAGCCTCCCAAGTACCTGGGATGACAGGTGCATACCACCATACTGAGCTATATTTTTTCTATTTTTTGTTTTTTTCTGTAGAGACAGGGTTTTGCCATGTTGCCTAAGCTGGTCTTGAACTCTTAGGCTCAGGCAATCCAACCACCTCAGCCTCCCAAAGTGCTGGGATTACAGGCATGAGCCACCATGCCTGGGAAATATAGTTTTTTAGATAGGGGGTCATAGTAAAAAAAAAAAAAATTAAGAAGCTAGTTCAGTGTCTGTCTACAAAATATATTTATGAAATAAATCAATAAAGCTAGGTTAATTATGGAACTCTCAAGAGAGCTCTATAGTAATTCATTCTAAGAGAGCTCTGAATTGGACTCCAGGATGCTATGAGGTCAGATAGGCTTTATGGCTTTGCTGAAATCTGCGTCTATATTACTGATGTAAAGTTCCTAACACAAAGTGCTTCTGGGAGCTGAGAAACAGAGGTGCTCTTTTTCTTACGTGTCTTTTTCTTTTTCTTTTTGGGACAGGG